GTTCAATATATATATTAGGAGTAAATATCTTTTTAAGTCTTTAACAAAATATATGGTCCATATTTTAGTTTCTTACAAAAAAAATTAGTCTCGAAGTCCCTAAAAAATTTAAAATAGATCAATTTAGTTAAAATCGTGATCTTCACAAATTCAAAAAAGATCTACATTAGTTCCTTAAAAAAACTAAAATGAATCCACTTTGAAATTCATAGGGACCATGTGACTAATTTTTTTTATAATGGACTAAAGTGAGGATCGAATTTTTTATTATGGACCAAAAATGATATTTATTCTTATATTAGTTAGCAACGTACGAAAATGATTAAAATAACGTAGCAACGCAAATTATTAGAGATAAAACTTATTCTTCCTCCCTTGTCACGTACCCATTTCCATGCTCTCTTCATCCTTTGTTTCCTTTTTCATCTCTTATAAAAAGAGAGGATTAATTGCAGGTCTAACATTCTCAAATAAGTTAATATCTAGAGACGAGACCTTCACTGTGATTTTGTTTGCCTTCTGTACAGGTAGTGTTGACTTTTTTATTCACCACTACAAAATAGAATGATAATGTATGGATGTACTGCATTATATTATCATATTTGTTTTGGAGGATTGATAAGATTTAGGGAGAAAATAATTGGTCAAAATATTGCCTGCAACTTGTTATGGAAGCAACTAGATTATGAGTGAGTTCAAGCGTTGATTTAAACTTTCTTTACAAAAATTAAAATAAAATCGAGGCAGCTAAAATAGAATCCCTGTAACTAAATGTGCGGACATAAATTTTTTTTTCTGCGTCCGCTAATGGACAGATCTACGTACCTTTATGGAGATCCTGTGGAATATTCTATCTTGTTCCTCCAATATTCCGTCTTATCATCAGTTCATGGAGCGACAAGGCTTGCAAGGAAGCTAAGAAGATGTTTTCAAAAAATTTTGAAGATGCAGCGATGGCTCCTTGTCAAAATTATAAGAGTAAATATCTTTTTTGATCGTCAGCAAATTTTACAATGCCTGTTTTAGTCTTAAGAAATTCAAAGTGGACCCATTTTAGTTCTTTTAAGGACTAATGTGAGTCTTTTTTGAATTTGTGAAGGACTACGATTTCAACTAAATGGATCCATTTTGAATTTCTTAGGGACCACGAATAGCCTTTTTATTTGCTAGCGACTAAAGCGAACATTATAAAATTTGCCGAAGACCAAAAAGATATTTACTCTTAATATGAAAGTCGTCTTATAATTACACAAATACCATTAACTAGAATAAGTTGTTCTCTGCATTTTGCATGTTTTGGGAACAAAAAAAACGAATAAAAACAAGTGTAAGTTGTTCTCCAATTTCAGCTCTAAAAAAAAGGAAAAAGAAATTATTTTCAATAGCAGTTTTCCAAAACTCAGGTCATCAAACAAGTTTTTTTATTTTTTATGTTTTAATAAAAAAATTATTTTACGAAATACTAATCAAACATGCCCTTAATGTCGGTTCTTTCAAATATTTTTTTAAGTACAAAATTTTAAGAAATGAATAGTCAGATTTTTTTTATATTACAAAATTAATCTTTAAATTTGTAACAAATAATATTAAAAAAATTGCAAATATATATATATATATATATATATATATATATATATATATATATATATATATAGGATCCTTTGACACCGGTAACAAACTTTGAAATTTGACACCAAATTTTAATCTTTAATTTCCGTCAATCAACGGTTATCATTTATTGGTAATTAATAAGTTTGATTTTCAATAAATGATAATTGTTGATTGGCCGGTAGAAATTAACGGTTAAATTTGGTGTCAAATTTTAAAATTTAACACCGATATCAAAGAATCATGGCCCATATATATATAATCTTTATGAATATTACTTGCATAACCCTCCATTACACTAGATTTAATTTTACTTCCATTCATGAGTTCAAACACCTTAGTCATATTATTACTGTCAAGGGGAATATGTTTTTTTATGTTAAATGAAACAATTCATGCAACACACAAAAAGTGGATGAGATTCATTTTTTTTCATTTTTTTAATGAGTTTCATCCATTTTTTTTTTATATTGCATGCAATATAAGAAATATATTTCTCACTTTTCAATTGACCCACGGCTTGTTTGATAAGCTATGTAGCACCGATACGATACGCGACATGTGACACGACACAAACACGATATTCCGACACGTCAATCCTAAAAAATTATAGATTTCGACACGTTGAGACACGTTTTAATATTAAATAATAATTTTATTTTATGTTGTGTATATTCATTTAATATTTAATAATTTAACAAAAAAATGAAACTAAATTAATAATACCCATCAACACGTTATAAAGATGGAAACTTTAATAAAAAAATAAGAACTGGGTTGAGAAAGAGATATAATATCAGATAGAGAGATCAAATCGTATTAGAGAGAGATCAGAGAGAAGGAGATGCAACAAGAGCGTGATATGAATTGATAACCATGATGCTGAGATGATCTCTTATCTACTTAAGGGAAAAAAAGACGAAAAAATAAAATTGATATGATCAGGTGGAAGTTTTATTAATATATTTTAATTTTAAAAAAATAATTTTTTTTATAAAAATTAAAAAAAATTACGAAAATGCCAATAGTGTCGGACACGGTCAAATTCGTGTGTTGAAATGATCAACGCGTTGGAAAAAGTTGATTGCGTATCCGACACCATGTCAGAGCGTGTCAGACACGAATCTTCCTGTTTTTACAAGTGTCTGTGCTTCCTTGTTAATAAGTGACAAAGACTTTTCCCATTTTGATTGGAATGAGGAACTTGAACTTGGTCCATGTTTGGTCCCATCCCCTTAGACCCAGCAAGTTGAGCCCAATTTGTATAGCGCTCCTCTAGAACTTTTTAGAAGACATTCCTTTTTGAAACATAGAGATTGAATACTAGGGACTCCCCTTACTCCCGCACTTCTGATATCGAATGCAGCATGCTTGGTGTAAAAGACCAGGATTAACTAGGTGGTACGGCTCCTCTTTCTCTCTTCCATGCTTTAGAGTGATGTCTGGCTCAACTAGAATATTATGCAATATTTTTTACCGGGCCGTATGACATGCATAACCGGTCGGTTTGTAATGTATCTTCAATAATATAGATATACGCCGGTTGGATATATTCACTGTTAAAATTTAGTTGAAGATGAAAAACGTAGAAATATATTTAGATAAAGTAATTCAAATTTAGAAGAACAATGTTTATTCTTTTTATCTATATTTTTCCATGTAATAAAAAATTGAACAAGCTATGTGCAGGACGGAATCAAGGAAAAAAAGTTATTCTGAGGAATTAAATATAATTTAAAAGAATTAAATTTGTTTTTAATTTAGACTATTTCAACCAAACAAAAGTAGGGTAGCCTTTTCCCCCCCTTAATAATAGTACATATACCGGCTACCGAGAAACTTCTACGCTTGTTACCCAAGAAAGAACAAATTAATAAAAAAGGACGGTTCCTTTTTTTTATTTATTATTGGGCCCTTGTGTCTCTTTTTAAATTAAAAATTATCACTTTGCTCCCATACTCAAATTATATATTAATCTGTTCCTATTTGACCATTGACTTGACCAAATAATTAATTACAACATTTATTTAATCCATTAAATTACGTAATTGATTACATCAGTATATTGTGATCAATTACGTCAACAAAGAGAGCTATATATATTTTTTTTTCACTAGATTTTTTGGATCAAGCAAATTTCTATGATCATGTACTTATAATATTGTTGAGGAGGGGCTTTATGGTCTCACAAGACCTATTTGTATTACAAATTTCGTTGAATGTATAAAAAACAAATTGATTGAAGCCACCAAACTACTTGTCACTACCATTGATAGTGAGTTTGGTGATGAAATCAGTCAAACTGCTATCAGATAGTCTAAAACACAATGGGAGTAGTAGGGAGTTTAGTGTGGCACAAAATTTGGGATGTTTTATCATAAAATTTCGAAATATTATAACTTTTGAATGATGTATTTAAACTAGGTGTTTTTTTTTTATTCCACTAACTTTTCAAGAGCTACACGCCAGCAAATGCTTGGTGAATTTTTTTCTCAAAAAATGCTACTTTGTACTCCTCTGATTGACATATTTTATATTTGTGAACGATATTATTTAAATTTTAACTTTCTAACATTAATAAATCAGAAAAATATTTCTGCAGTTACTGCAGATAAGTTATCTGTATTTACTTCCAGAACGACATCGTTGTGGTGTTGAAATATTAAAAATTTATAATTATAAAGACTATTATAACCCTGAAATAAATTAAAATTACAAAAATACTTTGTTTTCCGCCTTAAAACGAAGTCGTTTTGGACTCAATGCAGATAACTTATCTGCATTAACTGCAAAAAAAAAAATGAACCCTTAGTATATAATCCTCTGAGATTTTCTCGTTGCGTAGATCCCAAAAAGTTAGTTGAAATAAAAAAAAATTACATGATTTAAACACTCGAGCTAAAAGTTATGACATTTCAAAAATTTTATGATAAATTTGAATTATGTAATCAATTACAAGAACCGTTAATAGATTATATTATCTCGTCAACGATCAAATAAAAATATATTGGTGTTATAAAAATGGGACTATACTGATAATTTTTAATTTAAAAGCCGCAAAAAGATAAAAAAAAAAAGAAGCCAAAAAGGACATCTTTTAATAATTTTGACGACATCATTTTGGCCTTAGTGATAACCTTGGAATTGCAATTTAATTTTCAACCGTAGCAGTTGTTGAGGTTGCATGATTCAACAAATCATAGCAGACCTTCACTTTCACACTCAGTCAAACAAGGACTTTTAAATAAAAAAAGACACGGAAGGAGAAAACGCGACTAGGTCACGCAAAGAAATAAAAAAAACGTCATCAAAGACGTCAAAACTAGCCTCACTATGTCAGTTATAAATACCTCTTCAGTTCCTGGATTCTAATATTCCAGTTTCACATTTCCCTTCTCTAGCTAGTGTCCTGAAAAACACACTTTTTCTCTTCATTTGTCCTTCTAATTCCTTTGTAAGTGAAACATATAACAGATTGAAATGGCAGCACTACCTGAAGTTGAGCATCCTAGGAAGGCATTCGGATGGGCAGCTAGGGATCCTTCTGGTCTTCTCTCCCCTTTCAATTTCTCCAGAAGGTTCACTCATCTCTTCATTCCTTACATCTTTTTACTAATTTGGCTACAGCATTTTTTTTCTCGTTCTACTAGTTTTTAGGGAAAATGCAAACAAACATCATGAAACGTTTTGCCTGATTTTTTCAGTTTTCTTTTTTCATTAATACATGATCCACACAATGAATTGGATGGGATGTATTGAATTCTTGATGTTAAAATAATATAATAATGTTAAGAATGAAGTAGCCTGCTATTTAGTTTAGCTTAATTTGGTCTGGTCAAAATTTTCAGGGAAACAGGTGCGAAGGATGTGACATTCAAAGTGTTGTACTGTGGGATATGCCACTCGGACCTCCACAAGGTGAAGAACGAATGGGGCAATTCTACCTATCCTCTAGTCCCTGGGTATATATGCTTTCTACTCTTTTATTATACTCACATTTTAGAATATTCTCTATGTGGAACGAAACAAATAATTTATAAGGAAACTATATATAATGCTACTTATTCAAAGTTTAGCTGCTATTGTTTATCATATACATATATATATATATATTATACTCCAATATCAAGGAATAAATTCAATTCGATTCTAATTGATGTAAGAAATACAGGCATGAGCTAGTTGGCATAGTGACAGAGGTGGGAAGCAAAGTAGAAAAGTTCAAAGTTGGAGACAAGGTTGGTGTGGGTTGCTTGGTTGATTCCTGCAGATCATGTCAAAACTGTGCTGATAATCTTGAGAATTACTGCCCCAAATTTACTCTCACATATGATGACAAATATATTGATGGCACAACTACATATGGAGGCTACTCTGACTTTATGGTAACAGACGAGCATTTTGTGATTCGCATTCCTGATAACTTACCACTTGATGCTGCTGCACCTCTCCTTTGTGCTGGGATCACAGTATATAGCCCTCTCAGATATTATGGACTCGACAAGCCTGGTCTTCATGTGGGTGTGGTTGGTCTCGGTGGACTAGGCCATACGGCTGTTAAGTTTGCCAAAGCTTTTGGAGCTAATGTGACAGTAATCAGTACATCACCCAACAAAAAGGAGGAAGCAATAGAACATCTGGGAGCTGACTCGTTTCTGATAAGCCGTGACCAAGATCAGATGCAGGTACATGCCATTTGGATTGTGAATACATTAATTCCTTTCAGAATTTGACAAATGATGATTAATTAACTGATTTTGTATATTTTTGTAGGCTGCAATGGGCACTTTGGATGGTATTATTGACACTGTTTCTGCAGTTCATCCTCTCTTACCTCTGATTGGTTTACTCAAGTCCCATGGAAAGCTTGTGATGCTTGGTGCACCAGAGAAGCCTCTGGAGCTGTCAGTTTTTCCTTTACTTATGGGTAAGAATATGTTAAATATTTCAATAGGATATGCAGCGCATGCTAGAAGCATGTAATGCCTCATAAGGATGGTTTAGTGCAAAATGCAGATATAATATATGCACATGTAAACATTAAAATCAAAACTTTGATGCTAACATACATGTATTTTTAACATTATTGGCAGGGAGGAAGATGGTTGCTGGCAGTCTGATTGGAGGGTTGAAGGAGACACAAGAAATGATTGATTTTGCTGCTAAACACAATGTGAAACCTGACATTGAGGTCATTCCTATTGATTATGTCAACACAGCAATGGAGCGTCTCCTTAAAGCAGATGTGAAATATCGATTTGTGATTGACATTGGAAACACACTGAAACCTAGCTCTTAGATTTCAGACAATGATGAACCATAGTTCATGGGCGAGAGTAGATAATATAGAAAATGTCATGGAGATTTCAGATTTCGAACTGTATCAATTATTCTTGTGATGTCATGTCTTGAATAAAAAAGATGTTTCGCATGTTATCTGGCGCTGAAAATATTCCTCTAATTTCCAACGAAATTTTATATCATATGAAAAAATGAGAAGGAATTTCAAGTGGAATTTAGAATTTATCTTTTGATCCTTCACCTGATATCTTAAACCGTGCAAAAAATGGCGCACAACAATACAGCAGACATTTAGAATACAAGTAATGAATTAAGAAATATTAAATTCACATTAACAATAATAAATCAAGCCAATAGTACTAAAAAAGTAAAAGAGTTAAAAGCGATGTAACCTCTTATAGAAATAAAGCCTATATATGGAATTCAAAGATTCAAAGCAAAACATAACTATATCCTCCAAAGAAAAAGATCACGAAGAGGATACCAAAAAAAAAAAAAAAAAAGATCACGAAGAAAAAGTGTTGTGACAGATTTCTTCAACATGCTCATTTTCTTTGATTCAACTCTGAATCCTTGCTTTTTAATGAAGTCTCTCCTTGATAGCTATCTAACTGTCCTTTTATTTATCCATCACAAGCTTCTTATCTGACAGCTCTATTTTCCTTTTCTTTTTTATTTATATTTACAGTACATGGGGCTGAGAGTATTGTTCTCTAATTTTATTTAGTGTCCATAATCTTTTTATATCTCCAAATCTTTAACTATTAATTAAGATTATAAATTATAATCCAATTAAAATCTATTATATGTGGATTAATCAGAGTTTAAATAAATTCCTTTTTAAAAACCTGCCATTCAAACTTACGCAAGTTAATACAAAATATTTACGATTACATCTGAAAATATAAATGAAACAATAAAATGCATAAACAATAGATTAAATATAAAAAATGCATAATATGTGCAATTTTGCAACGTGTCCGGCACCTATTGTTTTGACTGTCCTATATACAAACTTAATGTCGGTTCTTTCAAATATTTTTTAAGTACAACAATTAAAGAAATGAATACTCAGATTGTTTTTAATTATATTACAAAACTAATCTTTAAATTTGTAACAAATAATATTTAAAAAAAAGTTGCAACTGAATTTATATATATATATATATATATATATATATATATATATATATATATAATAGCTTTTTTAAATCTTTATGAAAATAACTTGCATAACCCTCCATTACTCTAGATTTAATTTTACTTCCATTCAGGAGATCAAAGTTCAAACACCTGAGTCACTATTACTTTTCAATTGACCCACAGCTTGTTTGGCAAGTAACGAAGACTTTTACCATTTTGGTTGGAATGAGGAACTTGAACTTGGTCCACAACCTCGTATTAGATGAAGTCATCTTCGTGCTTAGTTACGTCGTGCAATACTTGTTCAAGAACGAGAATAAAAACAGGAGCTTCACCATCAGTTGATTGGTAAGATGTTGAAATGGTTCAACATGTTGCTGTATTATTCGTGTTTGTCACTCAATACAATGTACCATGATGCAGAGCCAAGTATATATTACAAATATGTACTCAATAAACACTTCATTAATTACATCAATCCATCTTCTCTATACAAAAGTGCAACATGTCGAACATCTTAGCAGAAGAAAACGAAAAAGTTGATTCCTATGGGTGGGCAGCTTTTGCTACTCACGGCAAGTGCACCGATCGTACAAGTAATATACTGATTAAGTAAGAGATCGTTTCCACGAGGATTACGGTTCAAGCACTAATTCACTATCGCAAACTTAGTTGGACAATCGAAGTTGTATTCGGAAACAGGATTTGAATTGCAAAATGAAAATATTAAATATTAAAGCTAATTACTCGCAAGAATTAAAAAACAAGAAATTAAGGATTTGAATAAGCTGATAAAATAAAAACGTAGCTAGGGGTTCGATTTCATTTAATCTCCTTATTACGTTTGAATTCCTTCTTAATGTTAATTGTCCTTAGTATCAATCTAATCAATTCTTTCGCATGTTATTAGAGCTCAATCCCTTGTTACTCTAAAACCTTTACAATATTGGAAGAACCCTAGTTCCCCGGTTATTCCCCAAGCATGCAAGCATTAAATTCAAGAATCTTAAAGATTACGCAAACCCTATGTCTATCCCTAGAATCATAACGTTTACGATGAAGTTATCAGATATGGATCACACACCAACATTCCTATTGTCATGCATTCATCGATGATCATTATATAAGATTCAAGCCTATATAAAGCATTAAAAACAGATAACTTCATTCATGATATAAAGGAAAATTAACACAACGAATTGTTCAAAACATAATAAATCGACTAAAATCCATCTAACCCTAACTACTTAAAGAACTAGCAGGACATAGCAAAATCAAGAACAAAAAAAAAAAAATAGAAAAGCTCCCCCAAACTCTATAGATAATTGGTGGATCTTCAATATCTCCAGTGAACACTTGACGTTGATCCGTCTCCGCCGCTCCCGAACATGAATCTGATGTTCCTCCGCGTTCCTTCAGCCTCCAAGCACCCAAGAGTTGTTTTGCAATGTGAAAGTTATGTATTTCTGGTCCCCAATGGTGTTTAAATAGGTTAAGAGTTCGTATTGCAGTAGAAAACTTGAATGGGCCTAAGTTGGACTTGTCTGGGCGCTTAAGCTTGTTGTAGCGCGCTTAAGCGCCCTAGGACAGTGATTTCTGACTCGCGTTGCGCGCTGAAGCGCTCTGGAGGGCGCTTAAGCGCGCTCCTCGCGACAACATTTTCTTCTTGTGGCGCGCTTAAGCCCTGAGTTGGGGGCTTAAGCGCCCAGAGGCAGTAGCTATTTGCGTTTTTAGGGAGCTTAAGCTTCTAAATGAAGGCTTAAGCTCCCACTTCTAACAACTTGATAAGATCTTCAATCTTATTGTTTTCACCTTGATTCATCTTCTTTTCTGATTTGATCTCTCTTTATCTAAATCTTCATATTTGAATCATTTGTTATCAAATCCCTTTAAAAATAACAAATATATTAATTAGTTCCAACAATCAGATAATGTTCATGATTATCATTTTAAAACCCTAATTTTTGACTTGTTCAACTAGATAATTCATATTATTTTAGTCCATTAAACAAGATAGACTAAAGGTTTATCAGCAGCTAAAGACACCTCAGGAATTCTCTCCCCATTCCACTTTTCCAGAAGGTATCTTCTTAGTATTTTGCATGCGCTTCAAAGCAAAACCAACTCTGCAGCACTGATATTTTCTATTCCTGAAAAAACAGGGCAAATGGTGAAAATGATATCACCCTTGAGATACTCTATTGTGGGATTTGCCACTCGCATCTCAACATGGTGAAGAACGAGTATGGATTGTCCATTTATCCAATGGTTCTTGGGTATTATTTTATTTCTTCCACTTTTTAACAATATTTATTTTGGCAATAATTTTTTGTCAATTTTTTTTCAAAATTTCAACCATAGGAGATTGATTTCTGAATATAAAATGTACCGAAACAATAAGTTTTATATGCTAATGTCACTTATAAGTTTCTTTCATATTGATTTGGGAACACCACGTTTAGGCATGAGATTGTGGGTAAAGTGATAAAGGTGGGTGGCAGAGTCACAAAATTCAGTGTTGGAGATATTGCTGGTGCGAGTGGCGTTGCGGGTTCGTGTGGCTCATGTTCTGATTGCAGCAAGGGCTTAAATGTATATTGCCCAAAAATGATTTTAACCTATGGTGCACGATACCACGATGGATCAATAACCCAAGGTGGATTCTCAGATAAGATAGTGGTTGACCAGCACTTTGCGGTGTTAATCCCAAAATCTCTGCCACTGGATGGTGCAGCCCGTTGTTGTGTGCTGGAATCACAGTATATAGCCCCATGAAATATTTTGGACTTGCTCAGCCAGGATTACACTTGGGTACGGCTCTGCATGGGTCAGGTCGGGTCAGGTTTTTGTCCGACTCGACCCAACTTGGTTTTTATAGGTCAGGTATTTTGACCCGACCCGCTTTAATTTGATCCAAGTCAGGTCTGACTTGGATTGGATTTTGTTGAACTAGTTCAGAACCAGTTTGGATCTGACCTAATTTGGTTTCTGAAGTGGGTCTGACTTGGTTTCTGAACTGGGTCAAATCTGACCTGATCCATTTTTGACTTGGTTTTCTCACAAAATTTTGTCGAAATTTTTACTTTGCAAAAGACGAAAAATTCGTCACAAAATTATTTTTTCGTCGAAATTTTTACAAAAAAAAATTTTCTATTGAAATTTAGTTTCCGTCAACAGTTTTAAAGAAAACGATTTCTTCCATCAAATGTTTTAAACGAAAAAAGAATTTTGTCAAAAAATTTGACGGAATAATTTTCGTTCAAAATTTCGATGGGAATGTGTTCTGACAAAAATTTTGACGGAAATTATTTCGAGGGAAATGTTTCATTTGAAACTTTCGACGAAATTTAGATTCTCTAAAGAATTTTGACGGAATATTTTTTTCGTCAAAATGTATTTTTTGTCAAAAAAATTTACAGAATTTTTTTATAGAAATGTGTTTCGTTAAAATTTGTGATGGAAATTATTATCAAAAAATTTGACGAAAATATTTAGTTGAAAATTTTCGATGGAAACGTGTTTCGCTAAAAATTTCGACGAAATTTTTTTTTTGTCAAAAAATTTAACGAAAATTTTTCCGTCGAAAACTTTCGCCAAAATTTGAAATCTGTAAAGAATTTTAATGAAATTTTTTGCCGTCAAAATTTTTTGATGACGAATATATTTCCGTCGAAAAATTTCGCCAAAATTTGAAATCTGTAAAGAATTTTGATTAAATTTTTTGTCGTCGATATTTTTGCCGTCAAAATTTTTTGATGAAGAAAATATTTCCGTCGAAAACTTTCGCCAAAATTTGAAATCTGTAAAGAATTTTGATGAGATTTTTTGCCGTCAAAATTTTTTGATGACGCAAATATTTTCGTCGAAAACTTTCACCGAAATTTGAAATTTGTAAAGAATTTTGATGAAATTTTTTGTCGTCGATATTTTTGGCCATCAAAATTTTTTGATGACGAAAAT